ATCTTTCAAACACTGCTGCAGCTCCTGCAGGAAATAGCTGGAAGAGTTGGGAGACAGGACCACACATGGAACACTCCTCAGACCACTCAGCCTCCTCACACACCCCCGATTTTCAGTCACATGCCCTCGTCACTCTCCCTACAAAACTCCAAGGCTCCCTGAGTCCCAGGGGACCCGAGGCTCGGACACAGAATCTAGGAGAGAGAGATTACTAGATGCATGCCCTCCCCCAGCACCTGGCTCAGCGCTGCATCACTCACCCTCTATGCCACTCATAGATCTGCTGAATGTTCCCAAACACAATCCTGTCGCGACCTCGAAGACTCTCAGGGACCCCCTGAGTAGCCATGGTAGCCATGTAACCCTGTGGGAAGGGTGAGACGGGACTGTGAGCATGTAACCTCGGCTCTGGGTAGCCCCAACACCAAGTCCAGAAGTGAGGGCACTAGGAAGCTGGTAGAGAGGAGCACCACCTCTTGAAGGTATCCCCAGGCGGAGGGAAAGGGTGAGTGGACGGTGGCTGGGAGGAGGAAACTACCTCTACAATCTGTCCCAAGTCATCCACGTACGTTTTTTCTGTTTCTACCAGCTCACTCAGGACAAACCTAGGGAGGACAATGTAGTGCAAGGATGCCATCACTTCAGAGTCCAGAGTCATCCTCAGCTCAGCCGGTTCTTCTTGGACTAAACGACCCTCCATGACCACAGCCACCCCCGGCGGGCCAATCCTGTGGAAGCTCGGGAACTGGAGTGTGCTGGGAACTTACATACTCCTTTCCAGGGCGACCTTCTTCTGTTCTTCCTCATTCTGGGGAGCTTGAGACAAAGTCTCCTCTTCAGGTGGCTAGAAGGTAAGAGCATCCCAGGGCAAAAAAGGAATACCTTTTCAGTGAGGAGCGCCTTTTCAGATCTATATTCATTTGTTTGTTGTTTGTTTTCAGACAGGGTCTCTCTATGTAGTTCTGGCTGTCCTGGAACTTGCTATATAAACCCAGGCTGGCCTTAAACCTACAGAGATCCACCTGCCTCTGCCTCCTGAGTGCTGGAATTGAAGGTGTGGGTCATCATACCTGGCCTAAGATTGATTTTTTTTATTATTATTATTATTATTATTATTATTATTTAGGTATTGGGGGTGTCACGTGTGTGCTGGTACCCACAGAGACCAGAAGAGGGTACTGGGTCCTTTGGAGTTGGAGATCCAGGTAACTGTGAGTCACGTGATGTGGGTGCTAGGAACTGAACTTGGGTCTTCTGGAAGAGTAGCAAGTGTGCCTAACCATTGAGCCACACGTCTCCAGCCGTTGTTTGACTGATTTTGAAACATGACCTCCTAGAGCCCAGGAGGGCCTGGAACTTGATACGTAGCTGAAGTTGGCCCTGAAGAGGTGCATGCCACATGCCCAGCTCTATTTCTTCATACCTGTGTCTTGTCTCCAGGACCCTCCAACAACGTAGTCAATAAGGTTAGTTCTGGCAACCCCTCTCCTGTGGCTAGCGTTGGTTCCAGCATCCAGTTCTAAGGCCAGACAGGCGACTGAGGTCATGAACAGTAGATGGGTTCCCCAGTGACCAGTGACCCCCCAACCTGCTGCCCTCTTTCCCAGGGTCCTTCCTGAAGGCCCTACTTCTGTGGCACTCCCTGCTCACCTCATACTGTCCTGTTTGACCACTGTCCGCCTCAGTTTCCACACTGAGACAATGTTTGGAATGATCCAACCATCTCCTCAGGCCAGTTACTGGCCCAGGGGGGACCGGAGAACAGGGGTGAGAGCTGAGGCCAGAGCTGGGGCCAGACGGGGCAGCTAGACCTGAGGCAGCAGAGGCTGACATGCTCCCCTCACTACCAGCAATGGAGTAGGATTCTAACGGGAGAAAAAGAGAGCAGTTGACGGACATTGCCCCAGCGCCAGACTTGGGGTCCTAGGGGGATTCCCAGGCTGTCCTCTCCGTGATGTTCAGACCCTGTCTTCCAGGGTTCCCTCTTTTGCCAACTCTCATTTGAACTGGCCAGGATAGAAATCTTTGCAAGGGCACCCTGGGGCGGAAGGACAGAAAACCTGGCTCCGAGGCCTGTACTCCCCCAGTTCCACGCGCGGAGGTTCCCCATACCCTGAGCACAGCACAGATATGGGGGTGGGGGCAGCCATCTGGGCAGATACTGGAAACTGGGGGGTAGCCATCTGCTTTCCTACAACACTCCCCCTTCCAATAGGTACAGACCATTCTCCCAGAGAGGGGTGAGAACAGGAGAGCTCGGCTGTCTGCCACCCCCAGACCCCTCCTCCTCCAGCGGCAGTAATTACTATATAATTTTTTTTTTTTTTTGGACTGCCCACCTCTCCAGCACATGCACATACCCAACAGAGAGGCCCTGAGGAGAGCGCAGCAGGGGGTTATCTTTGGTCAGCAATTGAGGAAAGCTGCCATCTGAGTTCTTTCAAAGCCCCTTACAGACAGTCACTCACCCCCCACCCACCAGTTCTCATTCCCCTGCTCTCTTCTCAGAATACTTTTCAGCCAAGTGATGTGAGCGAAGATACATGGTTCTGGGCCTAAGAAGATCGTGAGAGAATTTTTCCTCCTAGCCAGCTGATTATAGCAATGAGTCCTCTGACCCTTCCCCAATTCCCTCAACTTGGACGAGTAGAAATCTAGTAGGAAGGACCCTTAGATAGTCTCTGTTAAATCGCTTTCCTGGAAAACACAGAGGCTCCAACCCTAAATCCCTAGGGCCGGAGCAAGCAGATGCCCCAAACCCCAGCTCAAGCCACCACCACCCCCTACTCAAGGCTGTCCCCCAGGACCTCACACTCACCACGTCCCCCCCGGGCGAAGCAGCAGCCGCATTTTGCCAGCACTTTTCGGATCACTCGGGGACAGGCACAGCGACCCTCCTTGTGACCCCCCCGCATGGCGCCCGGGCCCCCCCGCACCCCCCACCCGGGCCGGCCATGCAGGGGGAATCACGGGGGGCGGGGCGGGGACGGCGCAGGGCGCACACCCCCCTCCCTCCCACCGGGGTCCAGGCTTGGGGATGCGGGGGGGGGGGGGTTGGGGAGGAAAGGGATGGGAAGCGGGGGTCCAGGAGTAGACGGAAGTCGGGGCAGGGGAGCGTGGAGGGAGGGCCGTGCGGGCCGGGCCGCCGAGTTGGGCGGGGAGGGTTTCCGGAACCCTGGCGGTGCGGGGGGCCCGGGGTCCAGATGTCCAGCCAGAGGGGGAGGGACAGTGGGGGAGGCCCGGCCGGGATGCGACAGCAGCTCCAGCTCCGTCTCCGGCCTCGGCTCAGAGGCGGCTCTAGGCCCGGGCGGGGTGGTGCGGGGGCCGACTGCCCGAGCCCCTGGAGGTGCGCGGGTCCGGGCCGCGCGGCGAGCGGAATAGCAGGCCGGGCCGCGGTGCTGCCGCGGGGAGGGGCCTCTGCGGCCCAGCTCCGCCTCCCCCTCCCGCGGCCCCAGCCCCCTCCCCCGGGCTCCACCAAGCTCCCACTCCACGTCCCGAGACCTCCACCCCTCCTCCCGGGCCTGGGCTCCCCCCGCCCGAGATCCTGCGCCCTCTGGCATCCCAGCTGCGACTGCGGGGCGCCGGGTTAGGCGAGAAGCCTGGAGGTGGGGGGTCTGCCTCGGTCGCCCCCTAGCCCCTGAGATGAAGGATTCTCTCTCTGGATGGGGCCTTGGCTCGTGTGAAGCGTTCTGGGGTTCTGGCTGTCTCCCCCCACCCCACCCCCTGCGCCCCACGCAGGACACGCGTGTATGGGGAACACTTTGTGAGGAACACAACCCAGGTGCCGCCCTCTCTCCCCCGACCCTTCTTTCCTCCAGGCCCCAGAACTCCAAGCTAAAACTAATCACCAATTAAGGCGAAGTCCAGGCGCCTGAGCTGGCCGAGGGCCAGGGGTGGGGCGCGGGGACACTCCACTCCGCCTTCGGGGGCTGGGGACCCGCCGAAGTGAGGACACACATCGGGCTAGAAGGCGAAGAGAAGCGTGGTGTCTGCGATTAAATGGTCCCATGCAAACTGGGTGCAAACCTTTATGTTACTATGAAGAGGATCTGTCTGAAGTCAGCCCTTGGCGCAGGATGGCAAACTGTGCCCCACCCAAGCCCAGCTTCTTACCCGGCTGCAGAGCCCAGGCGCGGACCTCAGGTTCGCGCTCCCCTGTTTGGACCTTCTCGGTACAATCACTCTCTGTCCTGGTACTCCCAGGCCCTAAGGGATCTCTCTTCGGGGTCTGCTGGGACAGAGTCACTGTAAGGAACCCCCCACCCCCGGGCTGCCTTGACCTCCCCCTTCCCTCTCCCTCCTGTCAAACTGCGCATTATTTTGAAAGGTTCAACAAGAACCTGGCCTATGGCCTTTGTAAGCGAACTTAAGGATCCCTGCCACTGCTCCATATAACTTTTGTTTGCGGGTAAACTGAGTCGTGGAGTGCAATTCTCCTGAAGTCCCCTAAAGACCCCCGACCCCACCCGCGGTCCCTCCTTCTTACCCCCTCCTGCCCGGGTACGGCGCATGCGCGTAGCATGCCCCCCATGACCCCCAGTATCCGGTCAGTGCGGCCAGGGGTGGGGCGGTCCGGGGGCTTCATGCTGGACCCCCTACCCTGCTTCAGGTTTCACGGCCGAGGGGCTACGGAAGCTGGGGGGCTCTGAGGCCTGCGTGCGTCCGGGGAGTTGCTGCGGCCGAATCCGCCCCCCTGCCGGGCTCCGCCCCCGCTCCCACCTCAGCCAAACTTCGCAGAAGGGGTAGGGTTGTTTCTTGCTCCCCGAACGGAGTTGAACAACAAACCAGCCCCTCTTAATCCCGATCCCATCCATCGAGATGTGGCCTAGGGCTTTGCAGGGTTATTGCAGCGCCCAGCACTAGTTCTACCCGTTCCCCAGGGTCCCAGGAGGTAAAGGGACTGTGCAGGCACGCAAGGATTCCCCATTCCCCCAGCTCCTTCTCAGCGGGGCCTGCTCCCCACCCCCACCCTGCCCAAGGAACAGAAAACGGGTGTGGCATAGAGTTGCATATTTTACTTTATTTTTATTAAATTAAAAGCTACAGTCTGGCAGCAATTCCAGAACAGGGTGAGGAGGCTCCTTATAGGGGTAGAGAAGAGCGAGAGAAAGACAGACTGACAGAGACAGACACAGGAGAGAAAGGATCCGTTAAGGTAGGACTACTGTTATCTTAACGCACAGCTGGCTGGGGGGTGGCAGCTAATATCAGTCCAAGGTGAGACAGTACAGTATCCAGGGGCTGGAGCTCGAGACCTCCGTCCCCCTACCCAGGTCCTTTCTCAGCCAGTCACTGGACAACAGTGCATACCAGGAAAAGCCAAGGACACTGGAGGAGCAGGGGTATAGAGAGTATGTACACGGAGTGCAGGGAGGGAGCCCCGAACCAGCCTCTGCAGAGGGCGTGGCTCACAGGCCACAGAAGCACTTGGCCAGTGGGGGGCAGGGGAAGGGACTGTCCCCTTCCCCACCGAACTCCCACCTCAGTCGGACAAATCCCCTCGTGTGGGTGGTGTGGGGGCAGAGAGAGAGGAGAACAGAGGCTTCCGTTGGATCCCAGTGGAAGAGGGCGGCAGGGGCCTTGGCAAAGGGGGGTGGCCTTCAGTCATCTGTGATACCCTTGGCTCTCAGTTCCTCTTGCACCCTAGTCAGGTAGGTGGGGTCCGGATACCCAAACCTGGGGCAAAGAGAGATGAGGGTCAGAGTTAGCTGCTTGGATCTGTTCATTATTACCCACCCTCATTTTGAGTGACTGCGGAGAGGCCAGATTCAGACCCCTCCCCACTTCCCATGAGGAGGGACCTCCAAAACTAAGATAAGCCAGAGTCTGCAGCTTTTTGTTTTTGTTTTGTTTGTTAAGCTGAACACATCAGGACCAAGATGAAAACAGACTGAGGAAGTGATGGGTGGTCTTCTCCAGTTAGGAGACTCCCAGAGGAGAGGACAGATGACTCTCCCAAAGTAGACATGGGAAGAAGGGGAGGAGCCAGGGGGAAGGAAATGAGGAGGAGCCGCACAGCTGGGGTCCCCCTGTGCAGCTGGTCTTGTGGTGGATGTCGTTCCAAGTGATGACATTGGGTCTCCCTGTGGTCATGGACGTGCCAATGGTGAAGGTGAGGCGCTGGTCAAATGCCTTTCGGAACAGGGTCAGCACCTTGTTGCCCTCGGGGCAGTCCGGGAGGTAGGCCACCCGTGTGGTACCAGGATACCGAACTCCTGGGTTCGGGTGTTCAGCCTGAGAGGAGGCAGAGGAGGCAGAGAGCAGTGTCTCAAAGGCCTGGATCCCAGTGGAGGGTCATTCTGGCCCGCCCTTTCATCGGAGCATTCCCAACAGACTGACAGCCTTTCAGGGGAGGGGTGGCTTTGGGGTCTGGGCAGCAGGAGCCTGTATCTGGACATAATTTACTGTTAATCCCTCAAGTCTCAATTCAGGGACAAATGGACTCTCAGAAGTGATGGAAGTTACTTTCCAGATAACTCAGCAAAAATGTGACAACAAGAAAAACTTATCTTTTGGCATTCCCTCTACCTCAAATACTAACGCTCGGCCACTGCCTCACGTTTCCATTTTTCTATGTCTTCCCTTCAGAGTTAACTTTCATCAAGACTTTATTGTCTTATGATCGGGAACAGAGGGGCACCCCAGCTGTTAGAATGGCCAGGTCCCTGCCTGTACCTGGGTCACCAACTCCAGACTTTCCTTCTGCCAAGAATGTCTGTCATATCCACATGAGCCAGGTTACTAGTTCAAGCCTTTCTGTCCTATCTGATTTTAAGTTTTTGGTGTTTTTTCCTTGTTTGATTTGGTTTTCTTGGGGGCAGGGATTGAACTCAGGGATCCCCATATGATAGGCATGTGCTCTACCACTGAGCTACACTCCAGACCTCATACTTGAGTTTTACATGTGCCTCTGGGTCATGGAGATAAAAAAGCTGGGCCTCAAGGAGCCACCCCCTCCCCACCAGCTCCAGAGCACATCCTAAGGCATGCTGGGCGACAGCAAGAGCGGATCATGCCTAACATCAGGTCTAACAACACACCGCCCACATCCCCTATTTTTCTTAGGTCAGAAAGTGAACTTGGAGAAAACCATCGGGCAGGGAGAGCTGTGGTCTTCTTACCCCCTGGACACCGGGCGGGAAGACGTATTGGATGACAATGGTGCCGTACTTCTCATAGCTGGGTAGCAGGAGGGTGGCATCCTTGGAGACCAGCATCCGCCCATTCTGGGGCTGGTTGCCCACCAGCTGCCCGTAGAATCGGCCACACATGGGGCAGGCTTTTTTCACCTGCAGGGCCCTCGTGATGCAGCCCTCACAGAAGGAGTGTCGGCACTTCTCCAGTGTCTTGGCGTTCTGGATCTCCCCCAGGCAGATGGGGCAGATGCTTTCCTGCTCTTCAGCCCCCTCCCGAAGACGCGGAGGGAGTGGAGGGGGCAGGGGAGGAGGGGGAGGTGGGAGCCCTCGTGCTCCTGGGGGCAGGAGCGGGGCTGCTCGAAGAGGAGGTGGACCTGGGCGGTGCAGCTCGGGGTGCTCCCCGCCACCCCCCAAAGCCAGGCAACCCATGAGCTCCCCCTGCCTCTGAGCTTTCTTCAGCTCTTTCTCTGCCTCTTTCAGTAGCCCCTTGAGAGCCTTGCGGGCCAGGTAGAGCCCATTGGGAGGGGCTGGGGGAGGGCCCTGTGGGGAAAGCTGGAGCACGTAGATGTCAGAAGTCTCTCCATCGATGAGGATGGACACTCGGTGCTCCTCCCGAAGCCGGGCCAGCCTGGCTGGGGTCTCCTTGCTCAGGAAGTCCCACACAGGCTTGGAGACGGTCACTTTGTTCTTGCAGGTGCCTCCGCAGGCTGCCATTCTGGACAGGACGAACGACACTGCCCCCAGGGTGAAGGGACTCAGAGTGGGAGTCCCCACCTGACACGCAGACGCGCCTCCCACTCGGGTGCCTCCAAACCCCACGGACACACCTCCTACTCCAGGTGCCTCCAAACCCCACATCACCCCTGTTCTCCTCAAGGCCACCCGCCAACACTGTTTTTTTGTTTTTCCTATCTCCCCTGTCTACCAGCACCTGCTGGGGAACTAGAGTTTCCATATTTCATTATTATCTAAGCCAAGCTTGCCTCCTTCATTTCTCCCCTGACCACAACCACCTGTCCCTTCCCCTCAGGGTGGGGGGAAAAAAAGGCTCTTCAAATGGGGAGGGAGGCTTCCCACCCCCTCCTTTGTGCTCACTTTGATCCGGAAGAGCTTAGAATTGGCATGCAGGCTCACTCCTTTTCCCTGCTACTTGGAGATCGTGTGGCCTAGTGGGATGGGAAAAAAAAGGAAGTAAGAAACAGATTCTCCAACCCCCACAGGCCCCAACTCAGGAGCCCTTGAAACAGACAGGGACCTTGAGCAGGACTACCAGACATGGGATTCCTCGGAACACGGGAGGAACATGAACCGGGGTTCTTTTGGGGTGCAGGTACCTGAAAAGACCATGGAAGTGGTGCCAGAAGTCTCTCTACTTCCACATTCAGCTGACCAGAGCTGGGGACGAGGAAGGTAAAGAGTTACGACAGCATTTCTCCAGCCAGCCCAGAAACAAAACACTTCTGTGTCCTCGCCTCCCCTGCAGAATTCCATGCCCAGCCTCTCAAAGTTGCTCCAGGAACTTCATCAGGCTATCTCCTCTTCTTTTCCCCCAGTGCAGAGAGAGATCCGAGGTGCAGAGAAAGGCCCTTGGGGATGAAGGTCTTACTTGCCACCTCCCTCAGATTGCCACTGACAGAAATCTTTCCTAGGCTCCTCAACTCATTTCTTTATTCCACATCCTCAAATAATTCAAGTCCCTGTTGCCGACAGGGGCCTTTCTTTCCTGGAGAGCCGAGGTCTGCTAGGGACGCCAGCAAAGTGGTATCCGTCCCTGCAGTAACAAAGTTCTTCCTGTCACCTTTAAACCCAGGGCCCGCAGAGCTCTGTCAGCTCCTGGGTCTGCATTTAGGAGGGGCGGGGCTCAAGCAGGAGCACAGCTGGAGGGACCCCACGTCTCCACCACACCCCCGGGCCTGTCACACATCCAGCTCCAGGTCTGTGCCCACAACAAAGTGCGGCTCCATCAGGAAGAGGGGCCATTGGTGTGACCTCGATTCCTTGACTCATCCCAAGAAGGAGCCGCTGTCCGTGCGTGCCTCCCTCCATCCCAGGGCCCTGAGGAGGAAACCCTGGAGTGCCAGGCCGCAGGGCCCGGGTCCGTGATGTGCACGGTGGAATGCCCCCACCCCGGCCGGCCGAGAGGACCCGGGACCGAGGTGTCCTAGCTCCAAGCCCTGCTGGCACGGCGCAGGGAGGCGGGGCCACAGTTTAGTCTGGTCTCGCATTCCTCTGGGGCAAACCAGGCCGGACGCGGGACCGGCGGCTCCCTCCCAGACCGCGGGGCCCTGGCAAGGGACGGCGAGGAAAGGGCAAGGGTCCCCGGGTGGGGGGTGGCGGGGGTGGGGAGGGGGCGTCCCCGGAGGCACCCCCACCCCAGACCTGCCCCCAGATCCAGCCAACCCGACACCAACTCCCGCATCCCTACTCGGGGGAGCCCCGGAGTCCCCCGCCGCTGGGTGAGGGCGTGTGTCCACCCGGCCGCGGCCCGGGGGGGGTGGGGTTGAACCCCCCGATGGAGGCCGGGGCTGGAGGTGCCGGGAGGAGGAGGAGGAGGAGGAGGAGGATGGGGCCCGGGGCCGCGGCCCTCCTTCCCGGCCAGCGCCCCGTGCGCGCGGGGGTGCGAGCGCGCGGGTTGGTGGGGTGGTCGGCGGAGGAGGAGGGGAGCGGGGGGCTGGCGGGGGTGCGGGCCGGGCCCCGGGGAGGGTCGGGGGCACGCGGTGGGTGTGGGGGCGCCGGGCTCACCTACCTCCCGTCCGCGCCGCCATTGCCGGTCACATGACTGAGGAGGCTGTTGCTGGGATGACGGTCCGGGCCTTAGCAACAAGGGGCGGGAGGGGGGAGACCCCGGGGAGGTGGAAGGGGATGCCGGGGTGCGGGCGGGCGGGCGGGCGGGCCGGGAGGAGGGAGGAGGAGGGAGGACGGCGGGCGAGAATTGCCGATCCCTCTGACCCCTCCTACCCACCCCGGAGCCCCTGCCTCCCGGGCCCACAACAAAAATGGAGGCGCAGGAGGATCCGGGCCTGGGAGGGAGGGTGGACCCGGGGGTAGGAGGTGAGATCCCTCCCGGAGGGGCCCGCTCCCCGTTTTCCCTCCCCCCGCCGGCTGCGTGGCACCTTTGCAGTGAGGGGGTGGGTGCGGGGATGGGTGCGTGAGCCGTCCCGGTGGGTGCACGGGTTTGGAGGGGACGGCCTTTTTTTTTTTTTTTTTGAGATCTTAAGGCTGTAAAGGAGAGGTGTGGGATGATGGGAAGAGTTTGGGGTGAAAAGGAAAGCCTCGGTACTACAAAATAAACCCTGTGACGACTCCTCCCCTCCCCTCCCTCAACTCTCGCCTCCTCCTCCTGGAGTGTTACCTCCGGTGACCCCCCCACAGCCTATGGCCAGATGGGGACCGGGTGACTGGTTTCCCCTCAAATAGGGACACAGGTTGGTGCAGGATGGGAAGTGGATAGTTCCCTTAAAAAAAAAAAATGGCTTGGGGTGGTTTTGGTGTCAAGTACGTGGCTCAAATAGAGTTAAAAATTCCCAAAGGGGGGGAAAAAATCTCTGCTCTGCTTCCCACCAGAGCAGTCTCCGCCTCCTGCAACTCACTTCCCTGGGGCCACATCAAGCCAGGTTTTTCCACCAGCCAAGACCTCAGCCAAGACATACTGAATCTCCCAGACTAGCAACAACCACGTCATCCTCCCCTTTCCATCCCCCTCGCCCTGCCCCGGACTGGAGGCCTGGTCACTCCTTCACTTTCCCAGGACCCTGTTGTTCCCTCTTCCTGCCCTCTAAGTAGATAGCTTTCCCAGGAAGCCTGGGTGAACGGAGAACGCCTTCCCAAACAGCTGTATGCCGAGAGGCCCACTAAAGTTAAGAGATGGAGTAACCAGGGCTGCCCACCATTCGTGTTCACTTCCCACCAAGGTGAGGAATGTCTTCCACTCCCGTGTCTCCACCCCACACCTCTAAGTCCACACCATCTTAGGAACCTCCCACATACGCAGGAGCCCATCACCACCTTGAAGACCAGTATTCCTCAGCTGGCCTCTGCATCCTGTGAACGCAGGATTCCCCAGCATTTTCAAAGGGAAAAAACATTTTTGTGAATGATTTGGATCGAATAATTTATTTTATTGTGATACTGGGAGTAAATACAGATTTTTATTAATAAAACAAAATGATGGAAAACAGAAGCAATGAATGAAGATGACCATACTGCCCATAATACACAACCTCATGGTTAGAGAATCCAGTTCCAATGAACAGCTGCTGGTGTCATGGGGCTTTATTGCATCAACAGGGAAAGGTCGCCTGTGAGATGAAGAGACCTAGCAGGTAGGTCCCTCCCACCACGACCACCGTTCCTTTCACGGCTCCCTTTGGTTAAAGGTGAAAGGGGAGCTGCTCCCTGAGGACCGCGTGGCTTCTTAGGAGACTGACTGGTCAGGTCAGCTACACAGCAGAGCAGCTGCTTGGCCCTCACTGCCCACCTCCCACCCTCCACCCCACGAGTGTGGAGGTCTGAAGAGGGACAGAACAGCAAGAGTGAGTGTCTTGGCTCCAAAGGCTCTGGGCAGAGACGACAATCTGTCTCATCTGGAATCTTTTTTTCCCCAAGACGGTCTCATGTATCCTTGGCTGGCCTCACACTTGCTATGTAACTGAGGATGACCTTGAATACCTGATCCTCCTTACCTTCACGTCCCTAGAACTAGGACTCTAGGAGTGCACCACCACACCTGGTTTACGTGGTGCTGAGATGAGCCCGGGCTCTGTACATGCTAGGCAAGCACTCCACCAACTGAGTTATAATTGCCAGTGCTCAAACCCATACCTTTTTTGAGTTTTCCTGAGACCAGGTCTCACTCTGTAGCCCAGGCTGTCCAAGTTAGCCTTGAACTGTCACTCACTTTGCCACAGCCTCCTCAGCGCTGGGTTTTACAGGCATGAGCTGCCATGCCTGAGTTCCTCTACATTCTGAGGATATCACGAATTACCTCGGCTATCTTTGGAAGGGACTGGGTGACTGAGTTATGGCTCTGACTCCTCTCTGGGGGTGGGAAGGGAAGATGACAGAGAAGGCCATCTGTCCCCTGGGAGACACATTAGCAGGGAAAGATGGGACAGAAGGGAACAGGACAACAATTCAACCAAAAACAGTGTCTGAGGAGAGGGAGGAAGTGTGCTAGGTACCATGTCCAGGGGATGGGGAGGTTCCCACACTCAAGATCTCTGTCCTCTCGAAATGATGGAAACGGACCCACACGCAGTATTCCCTTCTACTAGAAAGGGACCTTGGGAGTAACTGGACAGGAAGAAAGGAAACTTCACACAGGAATGAACCTCGCACTCCGACCAGTCCTCCCAGCCTCCGCTGCTCTCTCCCCCTCGCCGAAGGGTTCCATCCCCAGCAAAGGCGCAAGGTTCTGGGGAGGTGCAGCACAGAAGCCTCACACCTGGCCCTAGGCTTGGACGCTCTGGCCATGCCAGGGCTCCTGCATCCAGAAGTCCTCATGGGTACAGATCAAAGTGGGGTGGGATGGAGGAAGAGAATGGACAGTAGTCAATGCTTGACAGGGACCTTCTCCATTCTCTGCATAGTCACAAAAGTCCGCTTAGGTCCTGCCTCTGTGAGGTGCCAGCCTGCTGACCACTCTCCACCTCACCTCCATGCCAGACTGTCCATGTGTGAATGCCTGCACCCACATCGGAGTCTCCTGAGAGCCTTCCATTCCAGGGCCTACAGGGAGGAAGCATGCCACAAAGCCCTGTAATGGTATCAGCAAATCCAGACATTCAGTTTCGTCCACACAGCGAAGTGCATCTGGGGTAGTTGCTTGAGCCACATCCACTGTCCAGTCAGGTCTCGAAGATGGCAAACAACCCTACCCCCAGCTCCTCCTATTTCATAGAAACAAGATGTTTTTCAAAGATCAAGGCACTTAGGAGAGTCAACAACAACACTCTAATGAAGCAAGAGGGCTCGGTGGGAGCGAGGAGAGCGGGCAGAAAAATGGACATGGGGAGAGAGGACAGTGTATTTCTCGGGCAGGAAAAGCCTATCCACCAAGATGGAATGATTTGGATGGAAGGAGCCTGCACCCTGAATTTAGCAAAGAAGAGAAGTAGTGGCCCAATCCAGTTCCCCTAAGACTCTCAGAACCCACCACCTTCAACATAAAGCAGTGATCACCACAGAGTCAGGCTCTTAGGCAAAGATGTTGGCAATAAAATCCAGGAATCGCTTAGCATACTGCTCAGGATGGACAGTCGAGATCTCTGCCCCCGCCTGTGAGAAGAAATAGGGAACGGTGTGTGAGAAGTCCTACCACCTTCCGACCTCCTGCCTTCCCTCAGCCACCCCACTGCTCTGACGATGACACCAGAGGCCCTCTTTCCAGGGACAGTCAGGACAAGAAAGGAAAGGCTCTGGGGGACCCTCACCCCATGCTTGACGGTTTTGGCTGCGTGGGCTGCTTTCTTCTTGGCATCGTACTGTGTCAGAATGTCAATGAGGCCCATGAAGTACACCTCCTTCTGGGGGGCCCCTGGGGAGAGAGGCTAACAATGAGGACCGGGTACATACAGTCCCAATTCCTTTTCCCCTGGAGCCAGCTTGGTTGTGAGAAGATGATCAGCTTCTCCATCCACCACCCTGGTCTCTGTCCCCCAAGGATCTCCACCACCCCCCTTAACATTTCCAGGGTCTCTCTCACCCTCGGCACTCCGGATGGCATAGACATCGATGAAGGACTCAAACTCTCCTGGGCCCAGGGGCCGGTGTGAATGAATGTAGCCTCCAATGCCCTCAGGGGAGGTGCCATAGGAGCCCACCAGAGCAGGAGGTCCAGTCAGGTTACAGTCCCCATCCCACTCAGCCTCGTCCTCCCGCACGGGCCCCTCCTCCTCTGGCTCAGAGCCCCGGATGATGTCGTGGATGCCCAGCAGAAGGCTGTAGTCCATGATCTTCAGCTGCACTAGAAACTGAGACCCACTGACAAGTCAGAAACCCCAGGTCTCCCACCCAATCCCAGCCACCACCCGTCCGTCTCCCGCCTTCGATTTCTGGGAAAGGAGTATATAAACTGAGGCCACAGTGTACCACCACGAATTAGTGCCTGAGTCCTGGAATCTAAAGCACCCTCTGACGACCCCTAGCCAGTGCCCCATCCCATTCCCTACCCCACCAATGGGCCCAGGGGTTTCTCCTGTTTCATCCCCAGCCTTTCATTCAAGAAAAACCTTGTACCACAAATGGAAGACAAAAAGCAAAAATATTTAAAGAACAAAATAGCCATTCCTTCTCTTTTATTAAATAGGGCACTTCTAAGGACCCCGATCGTTACCTCCACATCTCGCTTCAGCTTCTCCAGAAACACTTTCTTCTCTTCCTCACCGATATACACTTTCTGGTTCTTGTTGAGGAAGTCCATATCCTTAAGAGTAGGCAGTTCTTTAACCTAGAATAGGGAAAAGAATGTCCTGGGAACATTTCCCTTACCCGAGGTCTCAGAGAACCCTGCCTCCATCCAGGGATCTCTCTACCCCAGAGCTTCGAAGACAGCAGCAGCCCTACGTGGCGGTATGCCTGGGCTCAGTCAGCTGCATCTCGTTACACCCACTACTGTCTGCTTATGGACTGGAGTCCACACCCTCCACACTGACTTTTCTTCCTTCTTCCTCAGTAAAAACAGCTACTTGAACACAAGAGCTCTGGATGAGATATGGAAAATGAGCACTCTGCTCTTCACACCTGGCATTCCCACCTACTCCAAACCTTCAACACAGAATAACCAATACTACCAACAACACTGCCACCCCACTGCTCCCCCAGATCAGCGACTGATTATCTCTTTTCTTTCTAGTAGTTTAAGGTGAGAATTAACAGCTGGTGATCTGTATCCCTTATGGAGAACTGCTTCTTCATCCTAAGCAATTCCTTTGACCCACCCCATCCTTCACGGCATCACCTGAAAGGAACATTACCTTTTCCTTATCGCTGGCTTCCCGGGACACTAGGGAGCCCTGTGGAGAGACCGACACTAAGTCAGAAGGAAAAACTAGCAGGGACAACCAGAAGCCTGGTTCCTACAGTGAACATCAAATCTGTGTCTCTCCGTCACGCACTGCCCTCCCAAGCCCTCCGCCATTCTCAGGCCTAGAGCAGCCTTTCCTTTAGCCCAGGTTGCCCTGTTCTTACCTTGAGGTCATACTTCCTATGCACAGGAAGACGGTGACTAAACATGTTCCGCATGACAAGCATGTAGCTGTCTTCATTCTCCACACTGACTCGGTACATGCCCAGGAACTGGGGCAGGAGCGTGTTGCCATGACACTTCACTATGTACTAGGGAAGAAAGCGAGAGAGGAAGGATAAGGAAAGGGTGGCGGGACACACAAACAGCTCGGGCACAGGAATCCAAGCTGCTCCAGGGCCCGGGAGGAAACCTAAGCACAGAGGTTACAGAGTCACCCAGCTTCTGAACCCCTACCTCCTGGTCTCTTCTATTTACAATTCTCTCTTAATTTTAAAGTCTGGGTCTCACATAGCTGGGGTGGGTCTTGAACTCCTCACCTCTCTGTCTCTAGCCTCTAAATGTTATGATAATAGGAACGAGCCACTCTGCCTGGCTACCTTTGCCTTTTTCAAAATGAGGACGGTAGGTGTTGTTATCCTTATTTTAGGCTCGGTGCAAATAGCCACAGAACCAGAGTTAAACTTTTTTTTTTTTTTTTTTTTTTTTTTTTTTGGTTTTTCGAGACAGGGTTTCTCTGTGTAGCTTTGCGCCTTTCCTGGATCTCGCTCTGTAGACCAGGCTGGTCTCGAACTCACAGAGATCCGCCTGGCTCTGCCTCCCGAGTGCTGGGATTAAAGGCGTGCGCCACCACCGCCCAGCCAGAGTTAAACTTTTACTTATCAATAAAATGATTTTATCTAAACCAATGCTTCTTGGTGGGCTAGTATAAATGTCTACAAGGAGACCTGCAATTAATTTGGATTGTCTTGTTTTTGTTTTTTAAAATAAACACTTATTTATTTAATTTATTTTTATTTTTTGGTTTTTCAAAATAGGGTTTCAAAATTCAGGGACGACAGTCTGAATTATCACAGCTGTGCACTTGATCTACTGACAACCCACCGCACTCCCCCCTGGTGCCCTCCGGTCCCTTAAATCCTCTCTGACGCACCTGGGGCAGTAATAACCCGAACTGCCCGCCCATACCTCATCTCCCTCAGGAGCACTTCTGGCCCCTCAAAGGTTATCTTCCTCCCTCCCTCCCTTCCTTCCTTTCATTCATTCATTCGTTTTTTTCAAGACAGGGTTTCTCTGTGTAGCCCTGGCTGTCCTGGAACTCACTATGTAGACCAGGCTGGCCTTGAACTCAGAGATCCGATGGCTCTGCCTCCCGAGTGCTGGGAGTAAAGGCGTGCGCCACCACCTATAGTATTTTTAAGAATGATTTTATTTTTATTTATTTGTATTTGTGTGTGTGTGTGTGTGTGTGTGTGTGTGTGTGTGTGTGTGCATGCATATGTGTGTCCACAGTCTTCCCTTCAAACCATGGTGATTTTAAGTGGCAATAAGTGGAGTTATGAGTACTCACTGATGTAGAGCTCCTAGTCTACTCTTTCCTTAATCTCTGCCACACCCCAGTCATCTCATGGACAACTGAAATTGGGATGAACTGCAGAAGCTATGTCCACACCCGCACGATCTTCCTCCAGACACCTATCCCTTTCTCTGTGTCCTGGGTGTTGACAAGTGGTGCCAGGCACTCAGAGGCCCCGCTGCCTTGACTCCCACATGTCCTCACAGGTCTTTCATGCCCGCCGCATTCTCTTCTGGACTCTCCTCATTCTCACCCACACTATTAAAACTGGCACCTCCACTCTCAGTGTGCCCGCTCTAGTCTATCTTCCACATGCCATCAGAGGGGTCACCTCCACTCTCAGTGTGCCCGCTCTAGTCTATCTTCCACATGCCATCAGAGGGGTCACCTCCACTCTCAGTGTGCCCGCTCTAGTCTATCTGCCACATGCCATCAGAGGGGTCACCTCCACTCTCAATGTGCCCGCTCTAGTCTATCTTCCACATGCCATCAGAGGGGTCACCTCCATTCTCAGTGTGCCCGCTCTAGTCTATCTGCCACATGCCATCAGAGGGGTCACCTCCATTCTCAGTGTGCCCGCTCTAGTCTATCTTCCACAAGCTGTCAGAGGGACGTTTCTAGACGTTCTCTTCCTTCTCTTCTTCTGTTTGTGGTGCTGAGGACAGAGCACAGGCCTCACACACGCTAGTGTGCGCTGCACGCCCAGCCCTTTATTTCTACATAGCACACATTCCAGTTCCCTGAAAACCACCTTCAGGACAAAGCCCGGATTTCTCTGTGACTTAAGGGCCCTTTCACAGTTGGGCTCTAGCTTAATTTTCCTAATACCACACACCCCAGCCACACTAGGACTCTTGCAATTCCTAGCACCAAACACTTTCATGGTTCCATGCTTTAACAAATACCACTTCCCTTTGCCTAAGATGCTCTCTGCCACCTTGTCCAATGACTAACCTCTACTTCTAGTCACTCAAAAACCAGCTCTGGGGTTGGCAAATTGGGTCTGCAGCCACAATTGCTTCTGTCTAAACCTGCCAGCTTAAATTCAGTCCCTGGAACCCCAGACGATGATAAACACAGAAAATCAACTCCCCGGAGCTATCTGATCTCCATAAGCACACTGTGGCATGTGTGCATCTCCCAGTAAATAAACAAATGTAAAATACATATATATTTTGATTCATCAAGACAGGGTTTCTCTGTGTAGCCCTGGCTGTCCTGGAACTCACTCCGTAGACCAGGCTGGCCTCGGAAGTCAAAGATCTGCCTGCCTCTGCCTCCCAAGTGTTGGGATTAAAGGTGTGTTGCCACCACACCCAACTTAAAAATAAAAATTTTAATTAAAAAAATATCAGGGACTAGAGCAGTGGTTCAGCAGTTAAGAGCACTGGCTGTTCCTGTAGAGGACCCGGGTTGACTTCCAGCACCTATATGGCAGCTCACAACTGTCTGTAACTACAATACCGGGGGGCCTGACACCCTCGTCAGGCCTCTGAGGGCACCAGGTACACACACACGGTGCACCGACAATCACCAGGAACAAACATAAAATAATAAAACAAAACAATTCCTGGCGGCCAGTGAGGTGGCTCAGTGGGTATGAGCACTTGCCACCAAGCATGATAACGTGAGTGTGATGCCTGGGACCCAGATGACGGGAGGGAGGATGGCCAGCTCCAGAAAGTGGTCCTCTGACCTCCAAGCTCGTGCATGGAAAATGAACAGAGACGGTGGTTTTGGATGCTGGTGTCAATGGGAAGGGACACATGGCACGCTTCTGTCAAATCAAACACAGCAGGCATGCAGAGGCCTTTGAGTGCTTCTGCCAGTCTGAGTTCTCACAAAGAAGACAGCCAGCGCTGCTGGGGAGACACCGCGCACAGGGAGAAAAGAACAGGACCTCGGAGTGCTCTGGGGCTGAGGAGGGCAGGACGGGGCTGGAGAGGCCTGACCTGGTGGTAGTTGGAAAGGTTGCTGTGCATGTCGGCAATGTCCTCGCTGGACACTTCCTTGATGACCAGAGTGCGATCATAGGAGATGAGAAATCGACCATCACTGCCTTCAGTTTCATTTGGGGGGCTTCGAGTAAGGGACACCTGGAGACAGAGAACAGCCCATGAGCACGTATACTTTCCATGTGTGGGCAGATACGAGCACAACGGCCCATTAACTGCTTCTCCAAGTGGATGAAACTCTGCAATAGAGCCCACTGAGATGCTTCAGTGGGAAAGGTGTTTGCTCCCAAGCCTGACGACCTGAATTAAACCCCGGGACCCACATGGTGGAAGAAAAGAACCAATTCCAGAAAGTTCTCCCTTGATTCCCACATACACACATCCACTAAAGCCACCCACAACCACGATAAATGGGCGGCGGTGGCGCAGGCCTTTAATCCCAGCACTTGGGAGGCAGAGCCAGGCGGATCTCTGTGAGTTCGAGGCCAGCCTGGTCTACAGAGTGAGTTCCAGGACAGGCTCCAAAACTACAGAGAAACCCTGTCTCCAAAAAAAAAAAAAAAAAAAATTAAGATGCAACAAATCCCTTCAACGGATTCTTAATTTGGTTACCTCGCATAATGGAATGAAAGTGAATGTAGAACTCTAAACATATATACATCCGGCCTCCCCCAGAACAGCTTGATTAGTCTCATTACATTTTCAAAGATGCCCATGACCACACACACACACACACACACACACACACACACACACACACACTCTCTCACTCACACATGCTTAAAGACACTATTAACCAAGGCTCTCGGTTCTCTAAACTTAACTGTCTAACAGACTTTCTAGTTGCCGGGGACTACCCACACCCCACAACAGACTCACCAAGTAATCCTGATCATCAATGCCAAATCGGTCACGGAGGTTCCTGAAGACCTGGGGACAATATTCCTTGAACTTGAAATGACTGGGAAGATTCTCTCTGAAAAGGTAAGAAAACAGAACACTCACTTTACAAACAATTGTTATAATCACCACACTACTGCCTGATTTAGCTCTCTAAATCCTGTAAAGGAGTTCGTTAGTTACTGCCTTTATTTAGGTGGAGTGTGCACTCCAAGTGTGCCCATGTATGACGCATGCACTTGAGTGTGTGGGTGCATACACCTGTGTGCTCAAATATGGTGGCCAGAGGGCGATGTCCTGTACCTTCCTCTATCACTGCCTCCCGTCCCCCCCCCCAACCTTACTGCTTTGAGAATGAGCCCAAAGCCCAGCATTTCTTGTAGCATTCTTGTTCCCAGGCTCCGCTTCCCTTTGCCTCCTCCAACGCTGGGAAAATGGGAATACACAGCCACACCAGCTTCTTTACGTGGGTGATGGGGATTCGGGTCTCAGTGTGTGCTGTACAGTGCTCTTTGATGAGGAGCCTCTCCCAGGCCCAACTTTGCTGTTGCTGTTGTTCTAGTTTTTGGTGACAGAGGCGGGCCTTGGGTCCTGATGCTCCTGCCTCATCCTCTCATTCCTGTACTTGGCTCCTTCACGTACATTAAAAGACATACTGTCGTCATTTTATAGAAAGGAAGACTGTCTCAGAGTGACCGAGCGGCCTGCCTGAGTCGGGTCATGTGGCTGGTAAGTGGTTCAAGTACAGCAGGGGCTTACTGTGCATCTAAACAGCAGCATTCCTTAAATCTCAAGCTCAGTAAAAATATCCTTAAAGTGACAGTATTTATTGATATTCTGAATGTACTAAAGGGGGATGAGAGGTGTCCATTATTTTTCACCTTCCCTACAGAAGGTAATAATAAAGGGACCTGAATCCGAATGGTTTTTTTTTTTTGTTTTTTTGTTTTGGTTTGGTTTGGTTTGGTTTTTCGAGACAGGGTTTCTCTGTGTAGTTTTGATGCCTGTCCTGGATCTCGCTCTATAGACCAGGTTGGCCTTGAACTCACAGAGATCTGCCTGGCTCTGCCTTCCAAGCACTGGGATTAAAGGTGTGCTGCGCCACCCACTGCCTGGCTGAATCCAATGTTTTTATTTGATGGAACAGACTAAAAGATAACAGATATATATGTATGTATATATTATATATACATATATATATATATGTGTGTGTGTATGTATGCATGTGTGTGTGTGTGTGTGTGTGTGTGTGTGTATATATGAATGTAAGTACTCTGGAAATGTTTACATTTAAAATTTTTAAATTTATTTATTTACTGGTTATTTTTGAGACAGGCTCTCTCTATGTAGTCCTGGCTGTACTGTAGCTCGGTATGTAGACCCAGGCTGGCCTCGAACTCATAGAGATCCTCCTGCCTCTGCCTCCTAAGTGCTGGGATTAATGCACCACATGCAGCTATTTATTTATTTACTCTGGTGTGTGTGCGCGCGCTCAGAAGACAACTTCCAGGCACTGGGTCTCTTCTCCCACCACGTGTGTCCTCGAGACTGAATTCAGGTTGTCGGGCTTGGTCAGCAGAGCCCTTACCTGTTGAGTCATCTGCTGGCCCTCAGATGTTTTTGTTTTTTTTCCCACAACACTGAATTTTCGCTTTAGAATGAATGTGAGACTGCAACACTTGTAAATTAACTTCTATACCTAAAACCTTCAACTCACTTAACATTTTAAAACTATTTGCTGTTCTCTCTCTCTCTCTCTCTCTCTCTCTCTCTCTCTCTCGTTTTTTTTTGAGAAAGGGTCTCACTACTGTGCTCACAGAGATCTGACAGCCTCTTTCTCCTGAGTGCTGAGATTAAAGGTGTGCTCGACCAGGCCTGGGCCCTGCTTCTTTCTTTCAATGTTTAGTTTGTGTGAGTGTGGGTGGTGTGGGTCACAAAACTCGTCTGGAGGGTCAGTCAGTTCTCTCCTTGCACCGTGTGGGTTCCGGACATTGAATTCTTTTCCTCAGGTTTGGCTGCAAACTCCTTACCCAGTGAGCCATCCACAGACCCCCCTGCCGTTCCTCTTCTAGATTTCTGTGAGAAGGTGCAGACCACCTACCTATGGAACAGGTGATTGTTGACCTTGATCTTGGAGCTAGCCTTAAAGTCGTCTGGCAAGAGCATCACTGGAGGCGGCACCTGGCTGAGTTCATTGATCTGAGGAGCCAGAGCACAAGGAGGGAGGCGGTGAGACACCTCATCTAGGCCAGAGTCAGAAAGAGCAACTCAAACCCCACTCCTTAACACCGGCGGTGGCAGCGGCGGCGGCACATCTGTGAGAAGTGAGACAAGTACCCTAGCCCATCCACTACCCAAGAACTGATGTCAGTCACCCTCACACGGCTCCTCACACTCCCACCCCCGAGGAACTTCATGCTCACAACAGCCACTTTATATTTGGCAAGCCCTGCAAGCAATCAGGACTATTTTTAAAGCTGTGAGAAATTCTAGAGAAAAAAAAATTAGGAGGAAAAAAACCAAACTCATAAAACCCAAGACAGTTACATGCTTTGTTAGGGGAAAGAAAAGGTATTTTTAAAGTGCAGAGAGTTAATGGGACTTTGGGGGGCGTGGGGGGGGGCGGTGCTCAACAGTGATGAGGAATGAAATGTCTGTATACTCTGAGTAACTCCTTACAAAGAGGACACTTCCAGATCACTCTGACCCAGATCTTGGCAGTAGGTACCCACCGGCCTAGGCCAAAAGTCAAGTTGCTCTCTGAGGAAATGAATACTTGCAGAGTCTATACGCTCAGGAGGTGTCTGTTCCCTAAGCGCAGTCAACCAGCGAGAGGAAGGATGGGGGCAGCACATGCTCTCCTCAGTCCCCAAGACCTGCAGCCCACTAGTTCAGGGCTCTTTTCTCTTTTATTCATTCTTTCTCCTCGGTGTTACTATGCCCCCTCTCCCCACCCCCACCTGCCTCTAAGAGTGCATCTGCCTGCCTGGGGACTCTAATCCCCAGCTTACATTAAGTCCCTCCCCCAGCTCTGAGCTCTTCAAGGGCAAGGGCCCATTCTGATGGCTGGTCTTTCAGCTGTTTAGTTAGCACTGTGTCTGGCACGCGGTGGTCCCGAACTGTTTATTAGATCGATAGATGAATGTCTTGTCTGTCCTTACGCGATCATTATTCAACAGAGGTTACGGTCTAACCTAAATCCCACATGCCGCAGTGCATGCGACTGCTTTTGTCCCCAGGAGAAAGGAGGACAGAACATATTCCTCCAGAAAGAAAAAAAAAAAGAGCCACTTGAGATTTCCCAGCCTAAAAGTCAGCTATAGCTCTTCCTGCCCCCTCCTCGCCACCTGCTAAGCAGGCTGAATCATCACGAAGGCATATGTTCAAGGAATTTCTCTGTGCTACACACTTGAGGTACATGTGTGCTGGCTGGGAAGTGGGGCACTGGCGCTACAAAGTATTTTACCTCAAGAGCGTGAGGCGGGTCTTACAGGTAACCCCTCCAATTCTTACCAGAGGAAAACCCTCCCCGGTGTGTGTTCCACAGGGATGGGTACATCACCTGGAAGGTACCTCTACTGAAACATTACCTCCATTAGTCTGGCCCACAGCAAGTGCCTCAAATGGAATACTCACTCAAGATGCCACCGCTGAGAGAGCAGCAAAAGGGGCCTCCCTGACCACCAGTGATGTTCCAACTACAAATAAAGAACGCGGCGTTCTGCCTCACCCCCTTACACCTCCACAACCATATATCAAGACTGCAACTCAAAGAAGCTGATAACCAAAATAGTCCCCGTGGAGCTGAAGATCACTGCATCCCTCCTACTCCCGATCTGAGAAAGGAAAAAACCAGCTACACTTCACGTCCCTAGCTTTGTCTCCAAGACGTCCTCATGAAAGGAGGTGTACCGGACCATCGGCCTCCTCCGGACTCCCAAGCTGCACCCTTCTGAGCCCTTTTCGGGCTTCCGAAGCTCAAAAAAACAAAAACAACAACAAAAAAAAAAACAACCCAACGACCCTGGGACCACAGCTCCTCGGCTTTTTCCTGGGTTACAATTTACTCCATTTACACCAAATACCACCACACCAGCCAACAGTGGGGATACAGCTAAGACCAAAGGCATCTATGCATTACGTCCCGATTGAGTGCATCCCCCTAGGGTCAGAGTTGGGTAGCTTCTCTGAAATGCTGAGTCCCCGGAAAAGGGCAAGCAGGGTTAGAAGATCCAAAAAACCTAGAGCTATCCCCAGACAAAGCCAAGGCTCGAAAGTCAAGGGCTGAGGCTAGAAAGCAAGGTGGAGAGGGGAATCGAACCACCTCCTTCGCCAGGCAGGCGTACCCCCGCCCCGCTTCATGCACTCTCGCACCCAGACCTCACCAACAACCCTTTATAGAGCCACTCCCCTTAATGTCCCTCTGGTTGGAGCCGGATTCTGGCCAGTCCCTGTAGCCTGAGGGCGGACCCGGCAGGAAGGAGTCAAGGCACAGAGCTGGATTTCAGGTGGAGAAGATGGAACTCTAGGGGAGGAGTAAAGGACAGAGGGAGAGACAAGAGTCTACAACCAGAAGACCGCCCGAGGGACACCCCGGGTAAGGGTGCGCTGGGAACCAGGCCGGGGCAGGGGGCGAGGTGGCCGCGCCAGGAGCTTTGGACGCAGGCCCGGGGAGACCCACAGATGGAGGGGCAGGAGCCGGGGGGGGGGTCCGGCCGGTTCTTACCGAGTGGGCGACGCCCCACAGGAACACGCCCACCAGCGGGTCGGCGGCCCGGAACACCTTCACTTTCTGCTGCACGAAATGCTTCTTCTTGGTTTTGGAGGCAAAGCCGAATCCTGGGCCGGGGCCTCCCGCGGCCGCGGGTGCGGCGGCGGGAGGGACGGAGGAGGACGCCATAGTCTCCCGCGCACCCCAGCGAGTGGAAGCGGGAGCCGGCCGCGACTCCGAAGCCCGACCCGGAAGCGGTGCTCACCTGCGCCGCCGTCACGTGACCGGAGGCCGGCCCGCAGGCGCGCGGGCGGGGCGGGGCCGGGGCGGGGCCGCTCTGGCCCCGCCCCCCTGGGCCGCGCGGGCCTGGTCACCTGGCGCGGGTGCTCGCAGAGATGCGGGGCGAGCGGGCGGGCGGCTGCGGGATCCGGGGTCTCGACCCTCCCTGGCGCTGTGCAGGGCGGCGCTCCTTCTCTTTCCGGTTCTGTCCCGTTTCTAGCGAGTGAGGTCTGCCCTGAGGACGAACGCCCAAGGCGCTTTTCTGTTGGAGGCCGGCTCTCCTTGCCTGCTCCAAGCTGGCTTTCACACTGGCTAGCCCCATCTCATCCTCCAACCGAGTGTGGGTCTTACGGAGGTGTGGGTTGCTCCTCCATGAAGTTGCGAAAGAATGGACGTGGCAAATTTAAATATATATTTTTTAAATTGTCTTATGTATATGGGTGTCTGGCCGGCACGCTGTAAATGAAGTGCCCGCGGAGGCCAGTGGAGGGTGTCGGACCCCCTAGAACTGGAGTGGTGGATGGTTGTGAGCCACCATGTGGGTGCTGGGAGTTAAACCTGGTCCTCTGGAAGAGCAGCCAGTGCTCTGGTTTGTTGTTGTTGTTGTTGTTTGTTTGTTTTTGTTTTGTTTTTTGGTGGTTTGTTTTGTTTTTGTTTTTTCGAGACAAGGTTTCTCTGTGTTGTTTTGGTGCCTGTCCTGGATCTCACTCTGTAGACCAGGCCACCACCACCACCACCACCCAGAAGGTAGATCTCGGCGTTCAAGGCCAGCCTGCTGTACAGAGTGAGTTCCAGGACAGCCAGGGCTACACAGAGAAACCCTGTCTTATAAAAACAAACAAAAAGACAGAAAGCTGAGTTCAGAGGCAGGCATTAAAAGGCTTCCCAGGTGGAGAACAGCGCACAAAGATGAAGACCAAAAGCAGCATAGTTTGTGGGGTTGTCAGTAGTAAAGTGACTCGGACTTCCAAGCACGTGGGCAGACGCAGACAAGGTTAGAGATGAGAGGTGGGCACTGGAGACCCTTTGTGTCTTACACTGTTAGCATGTTAGGGTGACTCAGACATTCTGGTGGATGTTGCAGAAATGCGCGTGCTGATGGTGAACTAGAACCGTGGGGAGGGGATGGCATCTACAGATACACAGTTTGAGGCTGGAAGTGTAGCTCCGTGATAGTGTTTGCCTAGCATGTGCAAGACCTGGCTTCAGACCCCAGCTCCACTGTAAATAAATAGGCACAGGGATAAATAAATAGAGCTCAAGGTCAGTTTGGAAAATTCACTGAGAATGTGAGATTTGAGGGCAAGGAGGATCGTGAGAGGGAGTCCCAGGATGTGGCTACACCGAGAGATTGTGGGAAAGAAAGATGGCGACTGGACATATGGGCCCGAAGTGTGGCAGAGTAATCTGGACTGGAGTACAGACTTAAGGACTGTTGTGGAATTTGTGGTCCTGAATGGCATTCCTAAGAACAAAGGAGCAAGAGCAGAACATGGGAACAGCATCGTTTAGGAGTCTGATAAAGAGTAAGGCTCGTTAAGGAAGGGAATGGCTCAGTTGCCTTTAGCCTACCGGCTTTTGCTATGGGTGGGTTAGGACTTCTGTTGGTCTTTTATGTGTCGAACATGCAGATTGCAAACCCAGCGCCACTTTGAGATCTTTGGCAGTAGTTTTAACTCTGCAGCTCACACATGATTGAGCCTGTATGATAATGAGTATTCAGAGACGGGTAATACCGGGGGGGGGGGGGGGGGCACTCACCAACCTAAGACAGAACACCTGTGTGGCCTGGACAGGCGCCTCCATGATGGGTAAGGTGACCTGCTGACATCTCACGCAACCTAAGTCAGAGGCTAATTTTTTAGTAAAAGGGGGACCTGTAGAGCCCTGGCCCCCTGTTTTGGATAACTGTTGCCTTGCTTGCTGACCTTGACTTTGATATCCTCCCTATGCTAATTCCCTGCCGGGTTCCACCCTCCTGAATGCTTAAGGGAAGTTCCTTGTCTGTGTATCCTGCATAATGGGCATTAACAGCTTAGATGCAAGATTGTAAAACATCAGTAGCAAACTTCTGCCCTCCGGGGTTCTCCCATTGTGCTGTAAGCCTGTATTCAAGACCTCCTCCCTCCTTCAATAAATGACATTCGGCATTTAAAAAAAAAGAGTGGTGAGATGCTTCCTGTGGGTAGAAGTGCTTGCCACCAAGCCTGGTGACCCAAGTCACCTCCAGAACCTACATGCATGGAGAGAGAGAACCAGCTCCCACAGGTCGTCCTCCGACCTCCACACGCATGTGCCCACTCACACATGCATGCACAGACACATAATAAGTAAATGTGATTTTTAAGTTAAAACAGGGCTAGAGAGAGCTTGGCAGTTAAGTACCCTGACTGCTTGCTCTTCCAGAGGACCCGGGGGTTCAGTTCCTTGTATCCACACAGTGGGCTCACAACCAGCTGTAACCCCAGTTGACAGGGATCCTGCCTCATCCTGCACAGCTTGGTCCTGGAAACCTGACTGGGGTGGTGTGGGAGTGAAGAGATGATAGGCACTGAGGAATAGGCATGCAAAAAAAAGGCTGGGGTCAGGTGTGCTATGCCCACTCTGATGGACGACAACTCAGAAACACTATTATGTGCAGCCGAAAGAGCAGGGGTTAGCTAGTCCCAGGAGGAGGAAGCTGCAGCTGCTAATTTTTGCACACACTGGTCAATAACTTGTAAACACTTGTACTTAGACCAAAGGAAGGCTTTGTCATGCTGTTGAGCCTCACCCAGGCAAGGTTTCGCCATTTCCAGAAGCCTGAGGCATTGGAGTCCTTGGTGTGGTTGTGCCTGTGTCAACAATACATATTTACTCAGGACTTCATCTGCTCCCCAGGGGATCTGATGCCTTCTTCTGACTTCCTCAGGCACCAGGCACACAGGTGGTATACACACACACACACACAACACACACACACACACACACACACACACATACATACAGGCTAAACACTCATACACATAAAATAAACAAAAGAAGAAAAGAAGCTGGGCATGAAGTGTGGCTGGGCATGGTAGTAGACACTTGTAACTCCAGCGCTTGGGAGGCAGAGGCAGGAAGAGCTCATCAACCTCAGGGCCAGTATGTGCTAAAAGAGAAAAAAAAATGGCTAGTGGGACTGCAGAGCCGATGAGTCGTTAAGAACAGGTACTGCTCTTCCAGAGGACCCAAGTTCCGTTCCCAGCACCCAAGTCAGGCACCGCACAACCACCTGTAACTCCAGCCCCAGAAGGATCTGATGCCCCTGGCCTCTATGGGCACCTGTACACACACACACACACACACACACACACACACACACACACACACACACACAATTAAAACAGTAAAGATAAATCTAAAAAAAATTCAAAAGAGGTTGGTGAAAGATTCAGAAGGGATGGGCAGAGGTGAGAAAGCCAGGTTCCGGGAACCTGGGGAGTTTTTACAGGAAGGAGTGACGAACATGGCCAGGTAAGACATGACCAGAGCTGAGAAACACCTATTTCACTTGGTAAATTTTAACCTTTGGGAAAAAAAAAAAATGATTTAAGCAGGGAAAGACCAGATTAGTGTAGTCCGAGGAATGAACAGGAAGCAGGGAAATAGAGATGGAATCCAGAAACCATTGGTCCTAGCATTTTGGGAGGTAGAGGCATGAAAATCATGAGTGTCAGCACAGCCTTGGGCTTACAGATGGACACCCCATCCCTAGAAAAGCAAGAGGAAGGGCAGTGGGGAGAAAGGACTTGCTTCTGGAGAGGAGGCGCTAAGAAAGTAAGTTCAACTGTGCATGTGGTAACGCACCTTCAACTCCAGACTCCAGCACTCAGGAAGCAAAGGTAGGTGGAGCTCTGAGTTCAAATCCAGCATGGTCTACATAGTTGGCCAGAAAGGGGAAGGAAAGGATGTGTCTTGTTGTGTGGCTTTCTGGGAGAACTTAGCAACAGACCGAAGGAGCAAGAGTGAGGAGTTACTCACAGGAGTGTGTAAGTGACTCAAAGCGAGCTGTGTCACCCAAGGGCCCATCCCCATGGGTGATGACTAGTGACAGCCACATCTCTGATCTCCCTGCCTACCTTGCAGGCCACTCCACAGTAGAGTCTCCTCCCCTGCAGCAGTGGTTAAAGACTTAATAGAACTGTTCCTGCAGAACTTTCTGTGGTTCCTGAATCTTGTGAGTTTCATGAACTTCCAGTCTTACGAGCCCCCTCCTCCTTCCAGAGGACGTAGTTACATAAGGCTCCGTCCCTTCCTCTGACTCTTGGATTCTTTCTGCCCTCTTTGGTCATGTTGCCTGAGTCTTGGAGGGGTTGATATAGATTGTGAATTCCCCCCTATTTACCACTGAGCAGTGGGTCACTGTGCCACATCAGCAGTTACTGATTTTCAAAGCTTGATCCGCTAAGGGAAGGGGAAGTTTCCCTCTGAGGAGGCTGAAAGCTCCGGCCACAGATCTTTGCCTTGCTAATGGTACCAACGCTTGATTCCCTCCCATAAGAAAGCACTTGGTTGCATGCCTAACAGTTATACTACGATGGCAGCCGTGGGCATGTCTTCCCTGGCATGTTGGTTACAGAGAACACAGGATCTATAACTGAGCTGGACTGTCGGTAAAGAACTGTGCCCTCGGAGAATGCATAGTGCCTTTTGGAACCATAAAACCCAGCAGTCAGGGAGGTTGCTTGCTGACCAGTCCCAGCTGGATTTCCCTGTGCCCTGTAGCCAAAGCGCACAGTGTGTCTTCAATAATAGGACCTTACCGTCTACTTCTGGCATGCAGCCAGCAACAGGGGTCATAGCCTTTAAGTTTGCAGGCCTCAACTGGTAGGGAGGGATCCCATTCCTATCGCTGGCAGATTTTTTTTTGGTTTTTCGAGACAGGGTTTCTCTGTGTAGCTTTGCGCCTTTTCCTGCAACTCACTTGGTAGCCCAGGCTGGCCTCGAACTCACAGAGATCCGCCTGGCTCTGCCTCCCGAGTGCTGGGATTAAAGGCGTGCGCCACCACTGCCCGGCGCTGGCAGATTATTTAATAACCTTACTGCTTCTGGGAATGCCCTTCTCTACCTGTACCAGCTAGTTTTAGGTCAATTTGGCACAAGCTAGAATCATCTGAGAGGAGGGAACCTCAGCTGGGGAAACGCCTCCATAAGATCTGGCTGTCGGGCATTTTCTTAATTAGTGATTGATATGGTGATATTTTATTTGTACTGAAATGTGATTTTATTTGTATGTTAATAAATAAAGTTGCCTGGGGGGTCAGAGCTAATAGCAAGCCATAGCAGAAGCTGGGCGGTGGTGGTGTATGCCTTTAATCCCAGCACTTGGGAGGCAGAGCTAGGCGGATCTCTGTGTGTTCAAGGATACAGCCAGCATGGAGACACACGCCTTTAATCTCAATACCAGCCATAGAAGACCTGGAGGTCTGTATAGACAGGCAGTGACGAGGAGGTCATGTGGTTCGGTTTACAGCCAATGAGAAGGCAGAACAGAAAGTCAATAAAAAGGACAAACACACAGGATGTATCTCTCTTGCGGAGGAGGACAGCAGCGGCAGTGAAGGGTAAGGTTTTTAGCTCTTAGCTTTTGCTCTGACCTCTTGGGCTTTTAACTTCGCAATTGGCTCTGTGTTTCTTATTTAACAAGATGTAACAAGGTTACAGCTACATATTGAGGGGGGAGGGTCCAGCCCATGGTGGGTGGTGCCATCCCTGGGCTGGTGGTCCTGGGTTCTATAAGAAAGCAGGCTGGGCAAGCCAGTAAGCAGCACCCCTCCATGGCCTCTGCATTAGCTCCTGTCTCCAGGTTCCGACCGGGTTTGAGTTCCTGCCTTTGCTCCCTCAATGGACTGTGATTCAGGATGTGTAGGCCAAATAAACCCTTTCCTCCCCCAGTTGCTTTTGGTCATGGTGTTTCATCGCAGCCATAGTAACCCGAAGACACCACCCATGCAGGATACTTTCCTTTAAATTCTTTAACTGCTGTTTTAACTCTTCTAGGTGCCTTTCCCAAATGTGCACTACACTCAGGGTTAGCACGACATAGCAAAACCTTTCTCAGGAGGGTGAGGTCTCTGAAAGCCCACCACCATCTGTCCCAAGGAAGTGCCAGTTGGTCTTAGGTGGCTAGAGAGGACACTTTTAAACTGTTAGCCAGGCCCAACATATCATCAAAATGAGTGCTGGGTACAGTGGCATGTGATGGAGGACACATCTCCACCTAGCCCTCCATGGTCCACGGTCCTTTCCCATGAGCCATCTGACCTCATCCCAGAGGACCGCTGCCTGCTACCAGAGCTACCTCCCCAGCTCTGACCGCAGGTGGCCACAGCTTCTCCACCAGCCACTCCTGGCTGCTAACAGGGCCCCCAGCTAAACAAAGTCTCCACCCCTAGAAGGCATCATTTGAGGGGAAATGTATGCGTATACACTCAGGAATTGTCTCTGGCTGTAGCTAGAGTTTTCCTGCCTGGCCCACAGTCAGGACAAATCTCTCTCACCCGCCAGTCCCACAGCCGCTCAGACCCGACCAAGTAAACACAGAGACTTATATTGCTTACAAACTGTATGGCCGTGGCAGGCTTCTTGCTAACTGTTCTTACAGCTTAAATTAATCCATTTCCATTCATCTATACCTTGCCACATGGCTCATGGCTTACCGGCATCTTCACATGCTGTTTCTCATCGTGGCAGCTGGCAGTGTCTCTCTGACTCAGCCTTCCACTTCCCAGCTCTATTCTCTTCCTTGTCCCGCCTATACTTCCTGCCTAGCCAATGGCCAATCAGTGATTTATTTATTGACCAATCAGAGCAACACATTTGCCATACAGACCATCCCACAGCATCTGGCCACCTCTAGGACAAGCTTTACTTCTTTCTGTACTGATCTGTTATTCCTCCATCCCTTTGGTAAACTGTTGCTCAGCACTTTAAATCCTTCTAGACGAGAGACTCACAAGTACTGACTTGGCCTTCTGATCAGGCCTCCCCCAGCCCCAGGAATTGTGGATCCACACAAATCTTACTACATTTCCCTAAGTGACAAAGACACACCCCTTGTCTACTTGTTCTTCCTTTCACACGTCTCCCTCCCCAACCCTTTTTTTTGAAGTATGGTCTCACCATATAGTTCCTAGATGGCCTGAAATTCTTTTGTAGCCCAGGCTGGCCTCGAACTCACAGAGATCCATTTGCTTCTGCCTCCCGAGTGCCGGGATTAAAGGCGTGCGCCACCTTTCCTCTCTTCCTTTTTTTTTTTTTTTAATTGCTTTGGCACTTTACAAGTCCAGTTTGCACACTAGTGCAAGCCATTCACATGCACCGAGCTGCCCTCTGTCACGACAGTCGCAGCCCTCGGGAAGCAGAGGCAGGTAAAGCGCTGTGACCTCCAGCCTGGTCTACAAAGTGAGTCCCACGACACCCAGGGCTACACAGCGAGACTGTCTCAAAAAGCCGAAGTAAGTAAATATGTATAGTATATACATATTGTATATTTATTGCTGTAGATTATATAAATATATAATGTTGTGTGTGTGTGTGTGTGTGTGTGTGTGTGTGTGTGTGTGTGTGTGAGATATAAACTACTGCCTCTCGGATTACATTTCCCCAGATGTCCCGCAGCTTCACCAGCCAGGCTGTGAACAGCACTTTCATTTCTTGTTGACAAGTCTGTACCAGTTCCAGCCACTCAGCTGCACAGCCCTCCTTCATTACCAGAGCTTCTGCACGGCGATGTTATAAAGGACCCCATCTTCATGCTGACTCATGGATTTCCCCTTCCTCTGAATTAAGGGTCAGATCAGGGGGCATCTTCTACCCCTGCTCCTCACTCTCCTTTCTCACTGTCTGGGTCTCCCCTGACAGATTTTTTTTTGGGCCTGGGCAAAGCTCTTCAGTCAGATTTAAACTGTACTTTCCCTGTATGGCCCACCTTCTATAAGAAATGGCAAGCCAATGCTCCATCTCATCCTCCCCTTTTTCCAATTTCTCTGCTACATCAGAGCTCTGCAGAGAGAGGACAGCATCTCTCTCTCTCTCTCTCTCTCTCTCTCTCTCTCTCTCTCTCTCACTATAATTAACCCCCTTACATGGTAACTTCTTTCTGGACAGACAGACAAACCACAGCTGCACTGCTTATCACCCCCAGCAAAGGCCACGCAACTGCCACAGCAGCCCGCTTACGATGACTCTGCTCTATCATGCTGCTTCAGGGATTACAATATACACATCACATCGGCCATTTGGGGGGTATCCCTTTACTCATGTAGAGGCCCCCACTCATCCGGGAGGAAGACAGCCACCCTGGGACCTCCCTTCCCCCAGTGATGCCTCATTGTCAGAAGCCTCAGCCTTGGCTGTGCCTCTTATCACAGATAACAGAAAGTACACAGTGCTGGACAGGCAAGACGCACATCACCCCAAACTGTGCCGGGGGAAAGGTACACGTTTCAGGATCTCCTCACCACTCTCCCACCTCAGCTCATCCTCGGCCACATGCCTTACCACCCCTCACTGGGACCATGGAGCTGCTCCTCCTCAGCGTACATTTGGCTCTGCTGGTCCCTTTTGGGGCACACGTTGTATGGTTTTTCAGGATGTGAACAAATGTCTAGTCACTCTAGGTAGACTGAAGAAATGATTCCACCCAAGTCTAGCTTGATGAACTAATGATGTGGTTTTTGGGTTTTGTTTTTGTTTTTTGTTTTTGCGGAGGGCAGCTTACTGAAGCATGGGTGAGGAGTGACTCACAGGTAGATGCTAAGCAGTGACACTCAGAGGTGCATCTCAGGAGCTCCCTGCAGGCAAGCCCCAGAAGCTTCTTCTCCCAGAGGAATTCTCTGAGGATGACACAACCTTGGGAAGAGACCTTGCTGCTCTTGTAGCTTTCCCAGATTCCTTTGTACTTTTTTCCTCAGTTTTCTTTTCTGTTTGTTTCTTGTGAGACAGGGTCTCTCTACATAGCCCAGGCTGTCCTGGAACTCACTCTGTAGACTAGGCTGGCCTTGAATGCACAGAGATCTGCCTGCATCTGCCTCCCGAGTGCCAGGCTTTCCTCACAGTTTTCTGAGCCTAATAAATTACTTACCTTCCTTCCTCTCTCAAAGATAGTGTCTGAATTTGGAGGAAATAGCAGCATATCACCTGCACATATAAGCATGTAGATGTGTGTATGGGTGTGTTCTGAAGCAATCCTCTCAGGGTAAAACCTTCTATCTGGGAAAGAAACTCCTTAAGACAGGATGCCCATTCTAAAGGGAGGCGAAACAGGCTCAGGAAGTACCCCAAACCGAGCAGATTCACTAGGTCCCTCCCTCCCCAAGCATATATAAGCGATAAGGACTGCTGGGACTCATTCTCAGACAAGCTGAGCTGCCTGGAAGAGACACCCTCCAGCCTGTGGAGCTGCTTGCAGGATTCATGAGCTAGGGTGAGTTTTTGGTGACACGGCTGTCTCTGAGTCATTTTGGCTCCTGTAAGTAAGACCTCACCTGTATTCCTGTAACTCCAATAAGCACATTGGTTTGCCTGATCAGACATTGGTGGTAACTACTTTGGTCTGTCACTGGCTCCCTATTTGGGGTGAGCAGACACTTGCTCATGTCTCCCCAGGGAGTGTCATGCAACAGAGGACTTGGCACTCGGTTCCCTTAATCTTCCCTTTAAATCAGAAGCAGAGCTGTCTCGAAGAAGAGTGCAGGGGACCAAGGAGACTTGGGATCTAAGCCAGGTGCTCTGGAAGGCAGGCAGGTGAATTAGACAGGAACACGGTGGGGGAGGGGGGAGCTGCCCTGGAGGGCCAGGGGAGTCCGCAAACACAGTATCTTCAGTGGCCCCAACATTCTGACTGTACAGTTTCCTCCGGTGCAGATGTTTTGAGAGAGGAGAGAGATAGGAGTGGCAGTTGGAAGAATGCCTGTGCCAGTTGACCTTGAACCCACAGAATCGAGCTGTTGTCAAGGGAAGGACAGAGATAGGTTGGAGGGGAAAGAATGGAAAAAGGACTGTGATGGTCTTGGTGAAAACAGGGAGAGAACAGGATACAGTTTTGCTAAAGTTGATAGACAACCTAGAGATACATCCATAGTGGGATGGTTGAATAAATTATAGATATATATTTGTATACTTTTTTTAAGTTAAGTAGATATATATTGACATGAAAAGATCTCCAGAATGCATTGCCAAGTAGGGAGGATGTCCACATATTCTAGAAATATGTGGAAAACATCCGCAAGGATATATATGTGTGTATATATGTGTGTGAATATATATGTATAACACGAATTGCTGAAGAGTCTTATTAATAAAAAAAAACTGGAGCCAGATATTGGGGTGAATGATGAAAGATCAGAGAAACAGAGCAAGCCACAGCCAACCTCACCTTGCCAACTCCTCAGCCTCCAGAGCATGAGTTCCTGTTTCCTCACGCCATGAGTTTCTGCTTCCTGCCATCACTTCCTGAGATTAAAGGCATGTGTCCTTCCCAAGCAAGACATGAGATCTCAAGTGCCGGGATTAAAGGTGTGTGCTACCACACCTGGCTCTGTTCCCAGGGTGGCCTTGAACTCACAGAGATCCAGACTGATCTCTGCCTCCCAGTGATAGGATTAAGGGTGTGTGCCACCACCCCTGACCTCTGTGTCTAATTTGGTGGCTGACTCTCTTCTCTGACCCCAGATAAGTTTTTTTGGGGTACACAAATAAAATATCACCTCATGTGTGTGTGTTCGTGTCTATATATGTGTAATATATCTATATTAACTACTAAATTTGAGAGGAGGGAGGTCGGAGAGAAAGATTTTCAGCTGGGCATGGTGGCACCTAGGTGTCATTTCAACACTTGGGAGGAGGGTCAGGAGCTCAAGGTCAGATCCTGATACATACATAGTGAGTTTGAGGTGTCACTGGGCTACAGGAGAACCTGTCTCAATAAATCCAGAGTGTCTTACTTTCTTATCACTGTAACAAAACACCATTGTTTCAGGATTCCTAAATGGTCTTACTAAAAACCCGGAGCCAGATATCGGGGTAAATGCTGAAAGATCAGAGGAGACAAGCCACAGCCTCTTCTTACCTCGCCAACTCCTCAGCCGACAAGAGATGATCCTGTCTCCACGAATCCTCAGACTGAATGCCTCTGAGTCCTCAGCCAAAAGGGCCTAGTTCCTGTCTCCTCACACCTTATATGCCCTTGTCCGCCCAGCCATTTCTCTTCCTGTCTCAACCTCCCTAGTGCTGGGATTAATGGCGTGTGTGCTTCCCAAATACTGGGGTTAAAGGTGTGAGATCTCAAGTGCTGGAATTAAAGGTGTGTGCCACCATTGCCCGGCCTCTATGTCTAATCTAGTGGCTGGCTCTGTCCTCTGATCCTCAGGCAAATTTTATTAGAGTGCAACAAAATATCACCACAGGCCATGACCAAGGCAACTTATAAAAGAAACATTTAATTTGAGGCATATGTTTCCAGAGAGCTAGAGTCCATGACCTTCGTCGTCCGGACAGGGAATGTGGCAGCATGCAGAAAGGCATGGAGCTGGGGCAGTAACTGAGAGATCACATCAGTTCCGCAAGCTTGAGTCAGAGAGCTAATGGAATTCTGTGCATTTTGAAGCCTTGAAGCCAGCCCCCAGTGGCACACCTTCTCCAACAAGGCCACACCTCTTAATCCTTCCCAAACAGTTCCACCAGCTGGGGGACAAGTATTGAAACATACGAGGTTATAAGGCCTGTTCTCATGCAAACCACTACCCAGGGTTAGTGTGATGATTCAGTGGTGGAGAGCACTTGCTGCTTTTCTAGACGACCAGGGCTCAGTTTTTCAGCACCCATACCACAGCTTACAACCATCTGCAACTCCAGTTCCTGAGGATTTGACACCCTATGCCAGCCAGCCTCTTGAGGCATCACCAGGCACGCATGTGATGAGCATACATATGTGCTCGCAAAACAGCTATACAAACAAAAACCCTTTTGAAAAAATAAATAAATAAAAGCAACAACACAGTCATCATTGGATTTATTTTATTTTAAAGGTATCTGTGTCCACCAAGTAAATACACACTGGGATTTGTGCAGTTTGGTCTGTCTTCCTCGCTGGCATGCAACATTTTGGCAGATGTGAGTGGGCGGGCCAGGCGGCCCTCCTGGTGACCTGGCTCTCTGAGAGGGATGTAGTGAATGGAAGGAGGGAGAGTGTAGTGAGAAGCTTCTGGTGAAGTGGGTGTTTCTTGCTGACATAAGCAAGCGGCATTTTCCCTTACATCTTGCTGAAGACAGAGAAGGATGTCGCCCTCCCTTCGTCTGCCCTGAGGGTACCTTCACATTCCTTGTATTTGGAAAGCATTGTCCCGCGGCAGAAGGACAAACACTCCCTCAGGTTCTCAGGTGTCCGGCTGGCATGAAGCCACAGACGGGATGCTGTCTTCCTCCTTCGCCCACCGGCTCTGAGGCGGTGACTCACGTGGCCTGCCTGTTCTTTCTTTTGAATTGGGGTTTAGGGTAGGGGAACCACATTGGACCCCTCTTGCAAATAAGTGATGTTCAGACTCTTAGGACTGATTCAGAGCCCTTCAACTAGTTAAGCATTTTCCACTGGGGGGAAAAAAAAAGCATGAAGAGAAAGATGATATAAACTTCCCAGGACCTGGGGGTGGTGGGGCACGCCTTTAATCCCAGCACTTGGAAGGCAGAGCCAGGCAGATCTCTGTGAGTTCGAGGCCAGCCTGGTCTACAGAGCGAGATCCAGAACAGGCACCAAAACTACACGGAGAAACCCTGTCTCGAAAAACAAAACCAACAACAACAACAAAACTTCCCAGGCCTGAATTACTTGACCATTTTGGTTGTTTCTTGTTTTTTGAAGCTCCAGAGACACATGAGACCCTTAGCCCTTGTCACACTAAGCGTCACAGGCAAGCACACGCCACTGAGCCACCATCAAACCCTGTGTTACTTTTTATGTCTTCCTACATAAGATTTATTTTCGAAAGTGTTTGAGAACTGCCGCTTGGGCTTTCTCGCACACCGCTCTGATTCTGTGCGCGTCTCTATCAATCCTTCACAGGTAAAAAGCAGAAGCTTTCCCCTGAAGGCGTGCGTCACAGCCGCTCCGGCCGTGTTTACGCTGTCACCCACCCCGGTTTCCTTCTAGTCCTAGAAGTCGGAAGATGGTCTGCCCTGCTTCTGCTGTCAAAGTCTGCTCTCCCGCCCCGGGGTAAGCCGGGCATCTGGATGCTCGGCTGTATTTCTTGGCCTCGTCTGGGTAGTGACCCTCATTCCTGCAGTTATCTGGGAAAATCACCTTAGCAGGTGGGAGGAAAGGGCCATCTGAACTCAAACCATGTCCCCTTGACGGCTGGAGAGGAGGGGACCTGGGCTGAGAATGGCTGTGGGAAGGGGTACTAGGTTCAAGCCCTCTGCCTCCATCAGCGCTGAAAAGAATCTGACCGGTCCCTGTCTTTTTTTCTTTGTTTTGTTTTGAGACAGGGTTTCTCACCATACCTGAAGCTATCCTGACACTGACTGGAGTCCAGGCTAGCCTCAAATTTAGCCATTTTCCTACCTCAGCTTCCTGAGAGCAGCGTTCACAAATGTGAGCCACCGTACCCAGCTTTTGCTTTTGAGGTGCCGGGGATCAAACCAGGGCTTTTTCGTGTACTGGGGAAGCTGTCCTGCTGCCACTGCGCTGGACCTCCTGCTCTGTCTTTAAAGTGCACTTGGTACTAGACGGAGATCATAGAGGGAAGTCTGTACGGGAAGAAGCCAGACTCCAGCCAGAGGCATCTAGAAACAGCAATTATGCCAATAAATGAATTGGAAGACCCCAGGCCAGAATCAGAGGTGGGAAACGCGGGTAGCCCAGAAGGGAGAAAGAGTGAGCTCAGAGCTTCAACTGAGGGCACTGTGATAGAAAGTCACATGGCACCCCCCAGCCCCAGGGGACCCACCGTTCTAACTCCGCCTGCCTATAACTATCTGGCACAGACAGATGAGCATCCGTTTCTCAGAGGTCTGCCTCCTTGACTTTTCAGAATATTTTTATATCAACTCTAAGTTCTGGTTGTGATATCTAAAGTAGACAGTATCAAAAGAGGCTCTGGGCAGAAAGGGAAATAGTCCCTTGAACCATCCATGCCTCAGACTGGGTGGGGGGAGGGAGCAAAAGGCAGACTCCATAGGACAGAAGTAAGCTCCCCGAAATCTCCTGACTCAGGTGGAGGGCGTATGGGGGCGGGGATAATCTACCAACCCTTCCGGTGGGTCCTCCTCTGTGCTCTGTGTAAAGAGGGGGGTTCTGTTTCTCTCTTTTCGTAGATGCTAAGACATTCTTCTGCTTAAGGCTTTGTATGTACACTGTGTGTGTGTGTGTGTGTGCGTGTGCGTGTGTGTTTGTGAGCAAGAAGGATCACAGCCTCCTAGCTCCTATCTTTCCTTTATCATCTTGTGACCTCTACTCGGCGATTAACATCACTCGGTGTAAGAAACGAGTATATGGAAGAAAGAAGAAGACATTCCCCTCCTCCCTAACACCGAACGGGGAGGGGAGGCTATGCATAAACACCGCTAACTACATCACCAGGTACTCAGAGAGGACAACAGAGAGAGGGAGACACGGCAGCAGCTTCTCGTGTATAGATACAGAGTACAAAGATATGAAGTAGGAGGAGGACATCGACAGTCCAACACCACGGGCTGGAGAGGGAGCTAGTGTCAGAGACCACAGGGTTTGCAGCATGCTGAGAGAAGAGGCCTCAGTCCCTCTTAGAAACTGGGGAAGAAAGAGAGAGAAGGCGTGAGGAGCCAGCCGGAGCCCAGGCTCTGTGCAGGAACAGACGGCACAGGCACACACTTTGGCTTACAGTTCTGTTCCCTGAACACCGACAGGCCTACCCCACCCCTCAACTCCCAGCCAGCCCAACCCCTGCTTCTCCACCCCACATCCTCCCATCATCCTGTTCCCCCTTTCCAGTTCTCTCTTTCTCATGCCTCTCTGCCTGGACCACTCTCCCGGAAAAGCCTGGGCGGGGCTCGGCCTAGTGCGGCCCAGCGAGAGACTGGCTATTTTCTCTTGATCCCAGTCAGCCAAGGATCTAATGTGGACAACCAAATAGGTGCCACTGTCCATCTGGGGTCTAAAGCAACCATGACAAGAAGCCTGAAGCCTGGTGACACCAGGAACAAGGGGGGGGAATGCTGGGAGGGGGGGAGGTGTCTCCTGCTGCTGCAAAGGACTTGGCAAGAGGGAGGTGTGGAAGCTGGAGGGGTTGGAGATGGGAGGCAGCCTGTTTTCATTTCCGGTGCATGGTACAGAGAGGACTGTTGTCACTAGCTAGAGGGACCAAGGGTCAGACAGCGTCATCTTTGGTAGCGTATGCAGATCTAGGAACAGTGCACGAGAGTAAGGCAGAGATCATCACCTCTACATGAGGCATCTTGGCTCAAAACATCTCCACGTATCTATGATCATTTTACAGGGGCAGTAGAGGCGGGATGGGATGTTCTCCCTGGCTCTCCTGGTACCTAAGGTCTGTGACCTGTGGGCCGTGGCCGTTTGTGTGACAGTGACCCCTAGCGGTGGGAATCAGTACTGTAGTTACCGCCTGCCCCAAAGGCCCCAGCGTCAGGGTGCATGGGAGCTCAGGGCTGGAGAGCCTCCATAGGGAGAGCATGAGTGATGTGTGATTTGGGGTTCTTAGTAAATGTTTTTGTTTGTTTCTGATACAAGGTCTCACTAACCCAGGATTCCTTTGAACTCATGATCCTCCTGCCTCTGTCTGAGTGCTGGGATTATAGGCATGTGCCACCTTACCCAGCTAAGCAGGAGCTGAAAGGTTTTGAGATGGTTTAAGAAAAAAAAAATAAAGGGGGGCCGGGCGGTGGTGGTGCACGCCTTTAATCCCAGCACTCGGGAGGCAGAGCCAGGCGGATCTCTGTGAGTTCGAGGCCAGCCTGGTCTACAGAGTGAGTTCCAGAACAGGTACAAAGCTACATGGAGAAACCCTGTCTCGAAAAACCAAAAAAAAAAAAAAAAAGAAAAAAAAGAAAGGGATAGTGGGGCTGGGGAGATGGCTCAGTCATAAAGTGTTTCTGCACAGGCATGAAGACTATGTTCAGATCCCCAGCACACACATAACAGCCAGTCTGTCTGTTACCCCAGCACTGGGGGACAGAAACAGGCAGACAGCGGGGTGGGCAGCCAGCCAGCCAAAACACCAAGTTCCAGTTTCAGAGAGAGACCTTGTCTCAAAAATAAGGTGCAGTGTGATGTGAAGACACACACACTAACCTCTCGCCTGTGCATGTGTGTATACACGCATCTCTCTCTCTCTCTCTCTCTCTCTCTCTCTCTCTCTCTCTCTCACACACACACACACACACACACACACACACACACACACACACACACTCACAATAAGATAAAGAGAAAAGAAACAGGAGAAGAGGCCAGGGCCAGAGACGGAAGTTGCCTGCAGCTACCTGAAAGTGCAGATACGTCGCCAGGCATGGGAGTTAGCTGGCTGCTGTCTCTTGGTGGAGGGGGAAAAGCTTGGCCTGGTCCTCAGCCTCATAGCCGCATGGCAGGTCACTCCTGGAGGAAGAGACATAGGACAGTCAGCTCCATGCCTGACACTGCTCTGATAGCATGCCCGTGAGATAAGAAAGGGCAGGGCAGGGAAGATGCATGCTTCTCTGAAAACTACAGCCTTGCCCAAGGTCAGAAAGTCCCCCAAAGTAGGAGAGAAACTATCAAATACCCATGGCATTCTCCCCCAGGTATCATGACTGGAATGGGGAGGGGCTTAGAGGGGGGAGGGGAGGGGTGCGGGGGAGGGGAACATGACGTGACATGAAGTGACCACGGTGAGCCTCATTGGCTCCTCCCTCCCCACAAGGCTCCAGTTAGTCCAAGTGGAGAAAAGTCGGTCACTTCTTCCGGCCCCACCAAGAGAACCCCGGGTCAGTGGTGTCTGGGTACCTGTTGTCGTTGATGTCTGTGACGTTTCCTAAAGAGACCACCATTGAGAGCACTCGGTCAGAAAAGGCTGGTGTGAGGAGCAGACGTCACAAACCCTTCCCATCCTAACGCCTCTAAGACATGGGTGAACCCGGGCGCTCTATCCTCAGCTACCCAAAGCTGTGCCAGCGGGGCCGGAGGTGGTGGTGACGCACACCTTTAACCCCAGCGTTCAGAGGCAGAGGCAGGTGGATCTCTGAGTTCCAGGACAGCCTGGTCTACTGAGGGATTCCAGGACAGCCTGGTTTAGGCTGGACATCTACATCAGGCTAAGGCTCAGTCAGTGGGCCCCTGTGGATGTACCCTTGCCCTCCCCCACCTTCCCTACCCCGAACCAGGGGTAGGACGCAGGGCAGCAACAACACTAAGTGCTCTGCCAGTGAGCGCCACCCCTGACATTATCCTTTCATTTGACGCCCTGGCATGGAGAAAGGTTCTGTTAGTGTCTGCCATAAAGCCCTCTCAGTTTGCCCCGGGGACCCTGATCTTTGTCACTCACCATTGTCCATGTTGGCCTTCTGGTAGGAAGCTAAGGGGCCGCCAGGTGTGGCTCCATTGCTGGCACAGGAGTTAGCAAAGCTGAGGGGAACAGAATAGAGACGCAGCCTCTGTTCTAACCGTTCTGAGGACCGCCATGCCCACACTCCTCCCAGCCCCTCATCCCGTCCATCCCTGGGAAAGGAACCGGGAACCTCGGAGACAGGGAAGAGGGCACCCGTCTCCTAATCACATGCAGAAAGCCAAGGAAAGGGTTAGAGGCCACGCGACTTAGGAAAGAA